TCACCTGGTTGTATATATAGCATGATATTTAAATCATCACATGGTTGTAATGTACATAAAATAGTGTAGAAATATATAACATTATCACATGGATGTGTTTTTAGCATAGTGTGTACCCAGTCTTATCCCCTCCCGTTAACATATTTTGTTTGGCATACACTTCACTGTAGTTCATACTGATTTTAAAATTGTTGTTTAGTTTCTCTCATATAGTGGGAAATTATATTGAAATCACCCTTTCTAAGATGATTACTTGGGCAGTCACAAGCATTTATGAGTATGAAGAAAACTGACCACTGAACACTTCAGTAAAATTGTTTGTGTTTATTTGAAAGTTAGAATAAGAACAGCCTGGCTATTAGAGGATAAGCTATTTTTGAGGAGAGCTGCATAAAATGATGGTGTTCATTTGTCTAGATTGAACTGCCTGTATGTTAAAATTTTAGCAATAATAATAACGATTCATCATGTTTAATTCATTTCATATACTATTAATACATAATCTTTAAAATAGTTGTTTTCACTTAATGGGATTGTATGTGATAAAGACCGCTTATACAGTGTAACTGCTAGTTTAATCAGTTAGAATGTGTTAAGTAGCACAAGCTTGATTTAACGCCTACGTCAGTGACTTCGACTTCTCTATCCAGTCCCATCATTAACTTTAACTATACTTTATCCATGAATGAACAGATTATCAATATCAGATATGATGTCATTGCAACCGAAAAGCAGAACCTATTGACAAATCAGAAAATTCTGTTTTAAAGAATTATTAATTCTTTGATCATTCATTCGACAAGCAATAGTATTATCAGTTTCATCAACATTCACTCAGAGAACACCCAATCACACTTATAACATTTTGGTGGGAAAAGAAGGTCCAGACATTTACCTGTCAAATTGCTTCTGACATTTTGTGATGTAATGAAATTGGATAATACAGCCATAGATTCACTGACTGGAGTCACGTGACAATAGTCTGGCAATCATGTTGTTATTTAAACTAGAAAATGTCTTCTAATTGTACATATGATGCTTTAATCCTTTAGGACAATCGAAGAAATAAACTTAATCCTATTTTGTTACGTTTGTGTCTATTTATTATGTTTAATTTTAAAGTACAAAACTATCGATTTAGAGTGCCCTTGAGTACATAATCCATCGACAGGAAAGTCTCAACAAGAGAATTTGAAAGGTCGATACACAAATAGAATACAATCATATTTACTGGATACGTATTCATATTTGTTATTTGTAGAATATCAACTCTTTACTGACAAAGTAAAAGGTGACGATGCTTATGGGGAATGTTATAAAAAGGGTATGATGCTTGCTGTCACCAATGACGAGAATGATTATAATCGCATAGTTGACATGATCAAAGCCCAGGGACAAGATAAGAACAGTTTCTGGTTTGGTATGAGGAAGATCGACGGTGACGTCAAAACCATTTATGGAAATGCTGGTTACCAAGTATTTGCACCTAACGAACCTAGTGGTAATGGCGACTGTATCGATCTTTGGTAAGTGATTCCCGTCTACTTTAGTCAAATATGTGGTAACCTTTTATAAACAAAGAAAGGCATAGCATTCGTCGATGGCTGATATTATATCAGCATTATTTTCCCGTATTATTTTACGGTGGTAACACAAAGTAAAATGATAAGAAAAATCAAACGGCGCGTTGTTGACATTATATTTGACAGCGACGGCATAAATAATACATGCCGAAGTTAAATTAGATTCATTTTCAAAGTGTACGT